TTTCTGCAAGAGTGAATGCCAATGTTGGTTCAAGAAATATAATATGTCAAAATATAGGGAAATGAAAAGAAGAGTTTAAAATAAATACCTTATCAGCAGTAGAGGTATTGCTTCCAATACGCTCCGAAATTTTGGCTCCAGAGGTTGGAGGCCCCGCTTCTTTCACAGAAATAGGGAGAATAGTAGTTTTAGTTTCCTTTTGGGCAGTGCCCTTGGATGAAGTAACCTTCGACCCTATTTTCTTTTGCTTCTTCAAAGGAGGAGGAGATTCATCAGTTCTGCTACCTTCGAGTGTAATTACTTCTTTTTCAGAAGCATTTTTTCTCTTCTTCGCCTTGGCAACTGGCGAACTCCCATCCTGCAGAAAACATCAAAATTTTGATAAGTGAGCAAAACTAGGAGAAAATTCCAGAAAAGAAAGTTTAGTATGAAAACCTCAGAAGCTTTGGCAGTTTTTTTTTAAGAAACATTCTTCCCGGTATTGTCTGGTTGTGGAGAAGTAGGCTTTGACGTTCCAGTTGGAGTGGTCTTTGAAGTGGGTTTTCCCTTTTTGGGGGTTTTCCTTTCGACAACTGAAAATTCACAAAGTCAGAAGGGAACATGTTAAGATGGAAAAAATGTACAGGCATCAACCCCCTTTGAGACAAGAAGATAAGGGAAAAGCTCCTTAACTTGATTCAGGGTCACAAGCCCACCAACAACCTCGTCAGCGTCAACGGGGTAATCAGCGTAAGCAAAATACGTCTGGAAGACGGTTCACTGAGACTGACATACCATCATCTCTAATACTGGAATGCTTGTTGGAGGTCAATCTGACTGCTTTAAGGGATCCTATTCGGAATCCCAATACCTCTGCTCCTAGCTATCATCCTGATGCATTTTGTGTATACCACTCTTATAGTCCTGGACATGACACTGACGACTGTTGGGCTTTGAAGAATAAAATTCAAGATCTGATTGACAATGGAGTGCTGAAATTCATGCCGGATGGCGAGATGAAAATCTTCCGTTAAGGGTTTCTCCACCTGAAATGACAAAGCTCGAACTGAGATAGGGATGGCAACGGGGCGGGTCGGGGGCGGGTTTAGCTAACCCCGCACCCGCACCCGCAACTCCAATAATAGACCCGCCCCCGCCCCCAAACCCGCCGGGGGATGGAAATTCACCCCCAGACCCGCCCCCAATGGAGAACGGGTCACCCGCACCCGCACCCGCCCCCACCCGTGAAAACTGTTTTTTTTAAATAAAAAAATATCTATTTTTTTCACAAATTTCCTGGACAGCATTAACAAATACATTAAAAATACAAAATTCGCCATTGATTTGAGTAAATAATTGTAGGATTTAATATTCAAACACCATTCCAAATATTTTTCTATCATAACCCTTCAATCAACTATAATTGGTTGTGAACTTGTGATTCATTAAAAGAGTGTAATCTTTCAATATATCAAAGTATAAATCACTCCCAACAACCAATAATTTTTTTGCAAAGTACAAATACAAAATTAAAACAATACAATCAACAAAATAACCATTCCAACAACATGGAACAAAATAACCATTCCAACAACATGGAACAAAATATACGATATCATCATAACAAAAAAAGATCCAAATAAACAACAAATTTTCTAATAATCTTCATCTTCGAGGCGGGAGTTGGAAATAGAAGTAGCACCATCAATCAACAACTCACCTGTGTTAAAAAATAAAAGTTAAAATATAAAAATTTAACTTGACAAATTTAATACAAATAGTATGAATAATACCTTCATCATCAGACTCCATTTCAGTTAGTAAAATAGCATTTTCATTTCCCACGTTAGATTTCAAATTACCTATCAATATAGTAAAATATAGTCAATGATAGTCTTGGCAAGTAAAAATAAAAAATATAAATAAGAAAGATCTTTACCATTATTCTCAGCACTCCATAACCAACTTCTTGCACACATCAAAGCTTCTAAAGTGGTCCAATGAAGTCGACTTCGATGAGGGCTTACGATATGACCACTTGTACTAAATGCGGATTCAGAAGCCACGGTAGAAACAGGAATTGCCAATACATCCCTTGCAATTGCTTGAAGTGTTGGATACTTAATCCCATTCAACTTCCACCATAATAAAATATCAAAATCTGGACTTCTTGGTAAAACTTCCTCTTCCAAATAAACATCCAACTCTGTTTTAACAGATGAAGTTCTAGCTTTTTTTTTTCTTATGACATACAAATCATAGTCTTTCAAACCATCATTACTAACATTTCCAACATTAGCATCCAACATTTCAGATTCACTTCTAGAATCCTTGTTCATTTTTAATTGATAATCATAAACTAACTCGTAACACAACTGTCTGATTGACTTAACTTGGGAATCAACATCATTCCCATAGAACACTCCATAATAATATTCAAGCAAATCAGTTTTATACCTAGGATCCAAAACAGCAGCAACCCCCATTATTTCATGAATCACACTCCAATATTTTTCAAACTTTACCAACATATTTTCTGCCATTCTTTTTACCAATTCGTCAGAGGATTCAATCCACTCAAGTAATGAAACTTTAATCTGACAAATCTTAGGGAAGTATTCATTGGCAGTGGGATACTTAGTTCCAGAAAACACTTCAGTGATAGAATTGAACAATTTCAATTTTACACAAATCTCTTTTGCAAATTTCCAATGTAAAGTTGTTGGCAAACAAGTGTACTGAGTTACACGGATTGCTAATCTATTAAATACCTCTTCATACAAAATAGCAACATCAAGCATCTTATAGGTAGAATTCCATCTAGTTGGACAATCTAAAACTAAATTCTTGGTGCAAGGTATTTTTAATTGTTTACATGTCTCCTCAAACCGTTCCTTCCTTTTAGGAGTTGCTGTCCAAAATGCAACGCTATCTCGAATCATCTCTATTCCATCTTTCACAACTTCTAACCCTTCTTTTACTATCAAATTTAGTATATGTGCACAACAACGCATATGAAGTAAGGCCCCGTCCCTTAATAATGTCTCTGGTTTCAACTTAGCCTTAATTTTATCAATCATTGCATCATTTGTGCTACAATTGTCCAAAGTGATAGTAGACAATTTTGAATCAATGTTCCAATCCATCAAACATTCAACCAATGCACCACAAAGGTTTTCACTAGTATGAGGTGCAGGAACATAAATGAACCTAACATAATAAGATTCACAAAACTAGTATAAATGTGATTTACCTCAAAATGTGATTCACAAAACTATATATAATATGCAATTAATCTATTATTAGAAGAAATTATATTTACCTCAAAATGTGATTACAAAACTATATATAATATGCAATTAATGTATTATTCGAAGAAATTAGATTTACCTCAAAATGTGACTCTGTAAATTCCAGTTTCCATCAATGTAATGAGCAGTGACAGCCATATATCCCTTTTTTTGATTGCTCGAGGTCCAAAGGTCAGAAGTAATAGCCACTCTTCCTTCAAGATTTTCTAACAACTTCAAAGTTGATGATCTCTCCATATTGTATACTTTGAGTATCTCCTTCTTTATAGTATTTCTACAAGGAACTTGGAATATTGGTTGGAGAGAAGTTGAGTATCTTCTAAAACCAATATGATCCACTATTGAAAGCGGATATTCATGCAAAATAATTGCATGTGCAAGCTCTTTCTTAGAATTTTCTGCATCATAAATTCCAGTACTCAACTCTTGTTTACCTTGCATGGATCTAGGCGTAAGAATTGTTTGTCCTTTATCAGATAGGTTCAAAATCTTCTTTTTAGGACAACATCCCAAATGTCCTTTTAAATGTGACGTCCCATCATTTGATGATCCATTAAGCTTCTTTGAGCAATAATTACATTGAGCCTTATCTTTTCCGTCAACTTTGACCTTTGTAAAATGATTCCATACAAAACTTTTCTGTCTGGATCGATGACTTGTGGTTGTTTGGCTATCAACCTCCATAATATCATTTGGCGTGGGAGGAGGAACATCAACTGATTGGTTACCACTTTCATTGGGAATAGGTTGATGTGTACTTTCTTGTGAGATAGGTGGACATCCTATTTGAGAGGTATCTTCATTTTCCATAACTAATTATCCTGTAAAATAATTAAGATGTACATAAGAATAAGAATAAACTAGTATTCAAAATAAGAATAAGGATAAACTAGTACTAATAAATGAAATATATAATAAACTAGTATTAATAAATGAAATATATACGTAACCATAAAATACAGTTCCAATTAAAATCGTCTCTTTCAAATACATTTTGCACAAATCATGCTGCGTAACCATAAAAAGAAAAAAGAGTTTTACCATAACTGTGAAAGAAAATGTTCAAAAATATTTGTTGAGTAACACTTTCTTAACAAAGGCTACCAATTGCATTAAACTTGGAGTTTATTTGTTAACTTTAAGCCATAGGACATGTACAAACTCCATGCTTCTATGATAAGAAAAGCCTCTAGCCTAAGTTTCTAACGCCTTATTTGGATACAAGGCTTTGTTTGGTTAATGAAACAAAAAAAGAATCATATTAACAAAATACAAAACACTTATTAGTAATTTAACAAAATACAAAACACAAAAAAAGAATCATATTAACAAAATACAAAATACAAAACACTTATTAATATAAACTGTGACACCATTTTCTATGGCTATTGTTTTAGTGTAACCAACATCATTTTCAATATTAAATAAAATTGAGGATGCTGATGGAGAAACATTCCATTGATCTGCGGTTAACACATGTGCACTCTGTTGCATAAATACTTTTCAAGTTTATATTCTTCACTGGTTAAGGGATGAAATATATGTAATACTAATTTGAAACATTATTTATCCTGTAAATTGCATCATATCATTAAAAAAAATACTTATCAGGTTATAAAGAAAGCCAATGAAACAAAATACCGTTGTAGGTTGGGTGGGATATTATCTCTTGTTATTAGACAATGCTTTCTTATAATAAAGGGATATATTATGCAGGTTGACAATTTCGGCACTGTGAACCTTGTTGAAGCATGCAGCAAAGTCAATGTTAACAGATTAATTCTTATAAGTTCCATTTTAGTCAATGGAGCAGCTATGGGACAGCTACTCAATCCAGCTTACATTTTTCTCAATGTTTTCGGCCTCACCTTAGTAGCAAAATTACAGGCAGAAAATCATATCAGGAAATCTGGTATAAATTACACAATAATAAGGCCAGGAGGGTTGAAAAATGATCCTCCTACCGGAAATGTTGTTATGGAGCCAGAGGTATTGCTTGCTTAAATATCTGAATCTCTATTTCTACAACAGAATCTATATTTATATGTTTGTTAGAACAAATGCATATATTAAATTGCAGCACTCCTACAAGAGCTTCCTCAGAAAGCTTTTGCGGCGCTGAAGTCTTGTTCTGATATAGCTGCAGATTCCTAGCGACATTTAGTTTATTTGAACCTCAGTCATTGTCTAATTTCACGATTGAGCTTTTCTACTTCTCTTTCAATCCTTGATCTTTCACTCAATACCTTCTCATCATCCAAAATATTTGAATGGGTGTTTAATGTCACTTCCAACTTCATCGAGCTTGATCTTTCCTCTAACAACTTCAATGGCACCATTCCATATGACTTTGGCAACATAAACTGCAAATCCCATACTTTGCACTCATTGCATTTTGATTATAACAATTTGAATGAAGATATTTCAACTATTCTTCTAAAATTGTCTGGTTGCGTAAGATACTCGCTGCAAGGTTTTAGTTTACGCCACAACCAAATTACTGGAACATTGCCTAACCTTTCAATATTTCCATCTCTAACAACAATCGACCTTTCATTTAATACGTTAACTGGCAAGCTTCCCGATGAAATTCCAAAATCATTGGAGTCTTTGATATTTGAATCAAATTCTTTAGAAGGTGGAGTTCCAAAATCATTTGGAAACCTATGTTCATTAAAGTTGCTAGATTTGTCAAGTAACAAGTTGAGTGAAGATCTTACGCAGAATATAAGAAGCTTTTCTTCTCTCTGCTGTGATTTATATGATACTGAGCACATTTATGAGTACATTTTTTATTACAGAACACTTATGAGTACCTATTTACATTGTATTGTAGCCTTTCTTACTGCAATCTTCCACTAAACTCAAAGTTTATAAAAAAGATAAGAGATTTCCTACATAGAACATGATGCAAGCTCTAATGTCACTAAACCATAATAAAAATCACCATTTGTCATGATTAATTTGGAACTATAGCATGGTTTTAAATTGTGGTCTGCAACTGCAGTTGCGGTGGGCTCTGCAACCGCATCGACCGCAGTTGCAGTGTGATTTAAAATCACGCCTGAGATGGTAATGGGAACCGCATCATACAATTTTGCTAGTGTTTGTTCAGTAATTTTTCAGTTGTCTCCCTCGGAGTCTTTGTTACTTAACAAACATTCAGTTGTTGGATCTCTCGGAAAACAATCTATCAGGACGAATTTTCAAATGCATGAATAATTTTTCTGCAATGTCTCAAGATGTTTTATCAGCTATTTCCACAGAATCCGTTTTATATTACACAGTTACCTATAGAGAGAACTTTGAAGGCTTTGATATTATTGCATTGTTGATGTGGAAAGGCACAGAACAACAATTCAAGAATTATAAGCTCATTTTGAGGAGTATTGATCTTTCAAGCAATCAATTGATTGGAGAGATTCCAAAAGAAATAGAAAACTTGATAGAATTAGTCTCGTTGAATTTATCAAGCAACCATTTGACCGGAAAAATCACTTCAGAGATTGGAAGATTAACATCACTTGAATTTCTTGACTTGTCGAGAAACCATTTATTTGGCCCAATTCCTTCTTCTCTAGCTCAAATTGATCGTCTGTCCTTGTTAAATCTGTCTAATAACAATCTGTCTGGAAGAATTCCAATAGGCACGCAGTTACAAAGTTTTGTTGCGTCAAGTTATGAAGGGAATGCTGATCTTTGTGGGAAGCCACTTGATAAAAAATGTCCGGGAGATGAAGAAGCCGCACACGAGAAACCAGAAACAGTTGAAGAAAGTAGTCCAGAAGATAAAAAATCAATTTATTTGAGTGTGGGATTGGGATTTATCACAGGATTTTGGGCACTGTGGGGATCTTTGTTTCTCATCAGGACTTGGAGACATAAATATGTCTTGTTCTTGAATAATATAGTTGACAGAATTACGAGTTTATGGCGCTGAATGGAATTAAATTTCGAAGGTAGCTTAGAGGTTTGCAGGTAACCTTTTTCTTTTCCGTCTTTCGCTCTAGCTTACGTATTATTTTCAAGTTGCTCAGACATGATTCATTTATTTCTATGATTATAATTTTCACAGGAAAAGTTAGTCTTAGCATGCAAAGAAGCTGGCAGTTAAACGTATCCCCGCATGAAAGGAGACTAGCAAGCCATTCACAAAACTCCATGACAGCAGGAACCCGGTAGCCAATAACAGATGAGCATAAAGGTTGCTATAAAATTTCACATTCTAAGAAAAGATAAGAGATATTTTCAGGAGCTTTATAACAGAGGGAGCAAGTAACAGGTGACAATAAGTTAAACAAAAATGCTCGGTTCCGGAATGCTACTGACTTGAACTCTGTTACTTGAAGTTTTAACTATAGAAAACCTCATAGTGAATTTAACAACCTTTACTAGTCCAAAAGTGCAATATCACATTAGAAACCGTTGAGAGTAAAAGGAATCTTCCACCTTACAATACAACAAAAGTTCATATGATTCCATAGTATCATAAAATTATCTATTTGGACTTGGGATCTATTTCAAGACTATATATATTTTGGATGAACTTTCAAATTCTCAAGACTATAGCTATATACACACACACTAAAATAGCTTATACACACATTATAATAGCTAGCATAGACACAACATACAACTATTCTATAGCATGGAAAGTTCTTTGTCACGCCTGTTTACATTTGAATTCTCATTTCTCACTTAGAAGTGTTATAATTCAGGTTTTGAATCCATAGTAAAAATGATTTAGCATTGATAAAGTAGTTTATCTTTCCAAAAAGAGGAAAAATTGTGTGGTTCTGCTTCTTTATTATCAGTAAATAATATCACAATTCACAAGTTATTTGCATCTAAGCAACATGAGAATATTCATACATCTATTGACATTATAGCATTCATATGGAGAAATTAATGATAATTACATCTGAAAAAATTTAAAATCAACATCAACTAACCTTAAAATCAATCGGAGAAAATGCACCGTAGCGAAGATCGGAAAGAGATTTCGCAACAAGGATCTGTTATGACAGAAATCGTGTCAACCGGAGAAAGAGATTCTTCACATAAATTTTACTACATTGAATGAGTGATTTTGTGAGACTTTATTCAAGAAAAAACAATTACCTCAAGTATTAGGTTTTGAGAAATTCGTGAGCGATTTCGAATGGGAAGGTGTTGTTAGGCACCCTTCATTGATGGGATGATGTTGTGGTAGTGGTGATGGCAGCAACGCCGTCGGCCGTTGCGGACTTGCGGTGATTTTGCGTTGAGATTTGAGAGAAGAAGATGAGACTTGAGAAAATGCTTCTAAGAAGCTGAGAAAATAAAAGTAACAGTAACATAAAAATAATTAAAATAAGGTTATTATAGTAATTTTATTATTCGGGGCGGGGCGGGTGCGGGTGCGGGCGGGTCTCAGTGTCTTACCGCCCCCGCCCCCGCACCCGTAGTTAGAAACCGGGTTTTACCCGCCCCGCACCCGTACCCGTTTTAGCCGGGTTTTCCCCGTTAATTTCGGGGCGGGTCCGGGCGGGGCCCAGCGGGTCTGGGTTTTTTTGCCATGCCTAAACTGAGATACTTTTGTTCCATTTGAATTTTCAAGTTGTAATTTCTTTTGTTATTCAAACAATTATCTGTTGATGTCAAACTCTGTTTCATTAATGCATTGCATATGTTTGTCTTGAATTCATCCATTCGTTTTCACTATTCTTATGCTTTCTTTATGATATTTAACTCTTGATAAAAAGCTACAAGCCTTTAGAGGGAGGATGACGAAACAGTACCATAAATCTCACACAGTATGCTTTTGAACAGACCTTGCTAATGATGTACATGCATTTCTTTCAAATCCTAAACACTGGAGTTATAAGGAAGATAATCCCTAGTCAACCCCTTCGAGCCAAAGAAGTAGGAGTTTTCTGTTTTAAACACAAATTGAAACCTTTGATTTAAACCTGGGGCAGGGTAGTCTCTCAGTTAATTCAAAAAAGATGCGCATTAAAGTCGCAAACTCTCAGTTCGTAATACAACGAACAACATCAAAAAACTTTCCTTTGGAACCAGAAGACAGTGATGGTTCCTTATCTCATAGGCAGTCATTATCTCTCAAAAGAGAAAAGCCCATTGAGCCAAAACCTACAAAGGAGGCTTAAGAAAGCTGGGGCATCCCGCTGACTGTGAGCTCGAAAACAGGAACAATCAGGCAAAAGTTAGGGATAACAAATAAAAAAAAGGGGTCATTATAAATCCTCAATAACATGAAAAATGTTGCAAAAATGATGATTGCCTTCCATCAAATTAAACTGGTGTGAACCATTACCAAAAAGTCGTTCCAAACTCAAATAGAGTTCGATGCACAATTAACTGAGTTTAGGACTGAAGGACATCACGAAGAGCGGGTGGGTACCAATATACTTTGAGCCTTTATCCTTTGTTTCTTAAACCGTGAACCAAGCCACGTTACAACCCTTTGAAAGTCCTAATTGAAGCATGGGTTAGTTCGAAAGCATACTGTTACAAAAGGTATCCTGACTCCTGTAAGGCTTTGCCCTAAAATCTTGTGTTGAATTTGTCTTATAAAAAGTTTTCTGCTAAAAAACGCATTTTTCAAAACTTCGAGACAAGCATAAAATTTGCATTATTTGAATATCATTGTTTGCACATGGTTTACTTGTTTGACAGCGAAGAAATTCATACAGTGAATGTTCGGAGGAACGAAAGCTCTCTCAGTGAGTAAAATCACTTCAAGTGGGATGATACTCCCATTGCAAAAACCTCCCGTCAACAAAAAGAGACTTGGTTTGGTATTGTCCAACAAATCTGGGGCAGTCCAGTCAAGATTTCGACAAATCTTTCAAAGTCTATTAAACCTGGGGCAGTCCAGTCAAGATTTTAAGAAATCTCTCAACTTCAGATACAATCCAGATACGCTCCAGACACGGTTGCCATTCTGTCACTTATTCAGATCCCAGTTACAGTTTCAGATACACTCCAGACACGGAAGTCATTCTGCTACTCATACAAATCTCAACTCCAAGATACAGTTTCAGATACGCTCCAGAAACGGTAGCCATTCTGTCACTCATTCAGATCCCAGTTACAGTTTCAGATACACTCCGGATATGGAAGTCATTCTGCTACTCATACAGATCTCAACTCCAAGATACAGTTTCAGATACGCTCCAAACACGATAGCCATTCTGTCACTCATTCAGATCCCAGTTACAGTTTCAGATACACTCCGGATACAGAAGTCATTCTGCTACTCATACAGACCTCAACTCCAAGATACAATTTCAGATACGCTCCAAACACGGTAGCCATTCTGTCACTCATTCAGATCCCAGTTATAGTTTCAGATACACTCCGGATACGGAAGTCATTCTGCTACTCATACAGATCTCAACTCCAAGATACAGTTTCAGATACGCTCCAGACACGGTAGCCATTCTGTCACTCATTCAGATCCCAGTTACAGTTTCAGATACACTCCGGATACGGAAGTCATTCTGCTACTCATACAGATCTCAACTCCAAGATACAGTTTCAGATACGCTCCAGACACGGTAGCCATTCTGTCACTCATTCAGATCCCAGTTACAGTTTCAGATACACTCTGGATACAGAAGTCATTCTGCTACTCATACAGATCTCAACTCCAAGATACAGTTTCATATACGCTCCAGACATGGTAGCCATTTTGTCACTCATTCAGATCCCAGTTACAGTTTCAGATACACTCCAGACACGGAAGTCATTCTACTACTCATACATATCTCAACTCCAATATACAGTTCAGATACGCTCCAGACACGGTTGCCATTTTGTCACTCATTCAGAATAATTATCATTCTCCCTACAGAGATACTTCCTAACAGATTGAAGATTCTCAGTCTCACTTCTCCAGCATAAGTCTCCCAGGTTTTAAATTCCCCAGTAGAGATCGTCGGAATTCTCATTCCTCACAAATTCACCAAGGATTTTCAACCCCCAGCAGTGGTCCTAGGATCCCTCAACAACTGAAGATCTTGTTCCCCAAGCAGTCAGCAGTCAACAAGGATGTCTCGGCTTCAGCAATCAAAGATTCTTGCAATCCCCTGCAGCAGTCAAGGATTCATTTTCCCCGGCAGCATTCAAGATTCTGTTATCTTCGGCTATCCAGGATTCATCTATCCTCAGCAAGACAACTCATCAGCTTACATGCGCATTCATTACATTCATATCATAAACATTGATATAACATATATATTGCATCATACATTTCATGCAACATAACTTTGTGTTTCAGCTAATATTTTACCCTTTTCAGGATAAGATTAATAAGCTTCAACTTCTGAAAATAGTTTACGGGTTCTCCAGATATGGATGTTAATCTATCGCTTGTTCAGACTCAACTTCTGAAAACAGTTTACGGGTGCTTCCAGATATGGATGTCAATCTATGGCTTGTTCAGACTCAACTTCTGAAAACAGTTTACGGGTTCTCCAGATATGGATGTTAATCTATCGCTTGTTCAGACTCAATTTCTGAAAATAGTTTCCGGGTTCTCCAGACATGGATGTTAATCTATCGCTTGTTCAGATTCAAGACTTTTGAAAACAGTTTACGGGTTCTCCAGATATGGATGTTAATCTATCGCTTGTTCAGATTCTAAGACTTCTGAAAACAGTTTACGGGTTCTCCAGATATGGATGTTAATCTATCGCTTGTTCAGATTCCAAACTTCTGAAAACAGTTTACGGGTTCTCCAGATATGGATGTTAATCTATCGCTTGTTCAGATTCCAAACTTCTAAAAACAGTTTACGGGTTCTCCAGATATGGATGTTAATCTATCGCTTGTTCAGACTCAACTTCTGAAAACAGTTTTCGGGTTCTCCAGACATGGATGTTAATCTATCGCTTGTTCAGATTCAAGACTTCTGAAAACAGTTTATGGGTTCTC